GAGTTGTTACGGACTCTCTTTGTTGCAGTAAAGTTGTATTTTTAGAGACATTTCAGGTTGTTAACAGATAGTCTTTTGCTCATCATGATGTTTTTGGAACAATATTGGTTCAGCAATTTAAAAAGGAAAAAAAAAATCTTCCTTAAATCTCTTCACACAACTCAAAGTACTGTTGCTTGTACATGCCAATCGAAATTTCTATCGTTTCTTATTACTTTTATAATTCCTTGGATTTGCTATATTTGATTCTTTATTTACTTTTATGCACCAAAACACTACATTAAATTCCTCGCATGTGAAGATGTATGAGGCAATAAAAGTGATCTGATTCTGATGTGACTGCATGCGTTTCAGACTTGTGCTATCTTCAAAGCAACATTAGATTCATCCCAGTAAGATTGCTGTGACAGTTTTTAAAGAAAAGTGACCAAGTTGCTCATTCAGAGTTTAAATGTTGTCAGATTTAATGAAAGGACTGCATGTCTGAAAGGGGCTCATCACAAGAGGCTGACAGCTGCAAGAGAGCAAACGTAAAGTGCAGCAATAAAGTAAAACAAAACAGGAAAGATGACCATCAAGTTCTAAGAAAGATCTCTGGTGGAGCCAACAAATCCAGCAGCAAGAAGTCTATCAGAACCTGTGAGTTTGTGTATTCAACACCTAAAGTCAAGCACACAATATGCTTCAATTTCCAAAGTTTTTTTCCTAAAACCAGGCCAGCTTTCTTTAAAACCTACCATTATGTGTTCTGGCTCCAGGGCCTTTGCTTCCCTCTGCATGTTTTCCAGAGTCCAGGCAGCCCAGTGGGCTCAGTGTGTCGCTGTGAAGTGCCGGTAAGCTGGACAGAGCTCCTCGGTGGAAACAGTGTCCCTGGACGGCCGGCAGCATCGGTGGCACCGCCCCTCGCTTCGCCCCCAGGGATGAAGGTGGAGGAGTCAGGGGCAGCGGCACCGACCCGCCTCCCTGTTTCACGGCAGGTGGGGTGTGCAGGGGGCCGAGGCCGGCGGACAGGGGGCAGGAGAGACTGTGTGTGGGCTGAGGGCTGGGGCTGCAGGTGGAGCAGGACCCGGAGCTGGGTGCCCCCTGGAGCCGGACCGGGGAGTAGCTCCCTAGAGGAGAGGGCCGGACCGACCCGGGAGGAGGAGCCGCCGTGCCCAGAGAACCCTGGAATCTGTTTTCAGCCGCATCCTCACCGTCCTCCCCGACCGGACCTCCGGAGCCAGAGCCAGAGCCGGAGCCTGAACTGGAACGACCCTGCATCCCAGAGACGTAGCCAGTGAGCAGGGGCAGCAGGGGCTTGGGCTGGGGGGGCTTGGAGGAGAACTGGTGGTGGAAGGTGAAGGGCTGGATGGGGAGCGTGGTGGGCCGCTGGTCCTTACTGTAGCGGACCACCGCTGGGCGGCTGTCGGAGGAAGTCGACAGACCACCTGAATGAAAGGAGAGAAGAAAAAATAAAAGAATTAGTTGGTTCTTGTTTGGTTTTTATTAACAGCAGAATCCATATTATGCACATTTACAGGTGTGTAATCTTATTTTGGGGGTTTACAAGAATATGTTGACAAGCTTTAATATTAAAAAACACATTATTTCTGTCTGAATCACTCAGTTTTAGCTCCTGTCTGCCTTCTAAACAGCCCAGTCTGCTGTGATTGGTCGGCCAGAACAGAAGCAAGGCAACGTTGGTTATGTAGCATCGAGATTTCTGATGGCAGGGCCGTGGTTTTAGCAGAAGCAGCTCTAGTTAGGAAATATTGGCGGTTTGCAAGGCAGCTGCTCATTCTTTGTTTGAGGGCCAAACTCGCTGCCAATCAGGCCAATTGTGTTACATGTATATAAGTAACAGTAGAAAAACCTGGAGTTTCAACGAGACAGGTGAGGGGCAGAGTCTTCTGTGAGGGGGAATAGTTCCTTTCGGTGTGGACTTTGTAAGTTTGCAGACTTTTCTAAAGCACATAAAGCAGCTGTATAACAAAATATAGTTCAACAGCACCACAAACTATAGCCTCTACAAATATCTTAGAGTTGAGTTGTGTCTCTTACAGCTCTTCAGGTACAACAGCATAATGTAACACTGGTCTTCTCTCTCTGTATGTTTTAAACTGCAATAACAGAAATGTAGCACTGTTGTTCTGTATACCTTTAAGTACAGTTCTATACACAATGTGTGTCCTAAAAGGTACATTATCTACCATGCTATATCTGTACATGTGAAAGATGCACATAGTCTTTATTACATCTTTAATTTCTTGCCTTGTTTCTTACTATGCTTCATCTGTAATATTTGAACTTCCTCAATAAATGATTAATAAAGTTTATCTTGTCTTATTATCATCTATCTAAACAGAATTTAGACATTTCAACCTTTTTCTTTCTTTCTAAGGTTATGTCGGAGCACTAAGTCTTTCTTGGCAATGTGCACAATGTTTTACTTTTCTAGTCTTGTATAGCCACACCTATCTCCACGCGAACGCTCTGACTCCAGCTCATTGTCATTCTGCCATAGCGGGGTGAAAAACCGCTCTGTCTTGTTCATATTTCTTTAAACCAACATCAATGGTCTTGAGTGGATCTAAGCCCAGGATGCAGGGATGGTGCCCCAGAAAAAGCAGTGGCAGGGGAAAGTGTTGCATGCAGGAAGACAAGTAGTCATTAAAATAGATAATTTACATAAAGAACCAAGCAGGCTGCCAAACTACGTGTAGGTTGGTGTTCACACGTCACATTTAATATCTAGATAGTGGAAAAAGAGGAGAATGTTGAGCGTCTCCATGCACTTCAAGATGTTTTTGGCCTCAGCGTCACAGAAGAAAACTTGTTGTTGCATTACTTTTTTTAAAAAAAAACAGTAATTAAAGGCTTCATAGTTTACAGTTAAACTTCAAAATGGGAGATAGGTCCCTTGTTTAACTTTTTGAAGCACCCCGATACACAAGTTGCAACTCATTTTTGATGAACCTGCTGATAATTTATGGATTAGTATTTTAGCGTACATGGAAATACTCCAAGATTATTGTCATAATTTCCTCCCAATAATCCAAGTAAACATAATAAAAAGGCTTATTCTGTGTATGCAACAGTCCGCAACCAAAATGTACATTTACAAAGATATAAATACAACAAATGCAGTCATTTTAGAAGCTGAAAAAGGCAGATAAACAGCTAAGACACTGGAGTGAGCTCTCCTTAGATCAGCACATTGATTAATCAGCACTAAACTGCACGAGCATGAAGGTTAGACTTGGAACAGACAGACAGAAAACTGCCCTGTCACAAAGCTCACTAGCTCTTATCACAGACAGCCATATAACTGCTGGAGACACTCCTGTCACAGGCCCATGTGCACAGACACTCACAGCAACACAAGGAATACACAAAGACACTCACATAATCTAAACCAGAAGCGTCAGGAGGGAAAGCCGGCGAAGGAGAAGGCCCTGTATTTTTTTTTCCTGCACTGATTCCCTATCTGTGTGTTTTCCTGTGGTTGTGTTCCAGCCACCGTATGACTGACAGCAGCGTGTGTGACGTCAGCATGCGTTGCGCAAGCTGTTTGTCACCGTCAGGTCCGGCCCACCACCCTGCTGCACCCCAGGCCGGCCACCGGGGGGCGCCGTGGAGCTGCAGAGGACGACTCCACGCCCAGCAGGACCGAAGCTGCAGGGGGAACAAACACTCCCTGTATCTGCTCCGTCATCCCTCCTCTTTCATCAGCTGCCTTCTCCTCTTTCACAGAGGAATCCATTAGCTTTTCCTCTCGCTGCTTTGCGTTCGCATCATTTGCAGATCGAGCTGCTTTCCCAGAGGCCTTCAGCGAGGCCTGCGCTGTACGCTTCCCAAGCCTGATGAATAATATATAGAGATGCTGCACGGCCTCTCATTACAGCCATCACTGTGAGAACATGGATCTGCTTCATGATGACCTATTTTCTGCTAAAGCTCTTGATCAATTTTCTTCCTCGCCTGCTAAACTATCTGTGCGTCCTTGGTTTCTCTTCCACAGTCAAGATTCAGGAGATTAAAGACATTAAATACAATCCGTTCTTTGGGGTGTTGCTCAGAAGCTCAAATTACTACTTTGATCCACGTTCAGTAAACAGGGTGGGGAAGTGATCTTTTGTTCTAGACTGGGAGACCGAGGAGTACGAACCTGTACGCTCAGAGGCAGCACCTGTTATATAATCTAACACGACTTTACTATATTATTGTCTGTTGTTTTGTTCATTTTGTATGAAGCTGATGTGAGGTTTTAACACGATGAACCTTAAAATGCATCGGTGGGTTTAAAAGTCATGTTACCTTTTTGAAAAATGCCAAAATTACAACATTTATCAGAGCAAGACACTGTTAAAAACAGACAAAAAAAAATCACCTAAATTTTGATTTTCTGATGATTCATGAATAAATCATCTGTTTCTTTATTTTAAAATTATGTAGAAACTCATGAAATCAATCAAATCCAAGCTTAAAATTGTGGTATTTCAGGAAATTCACCATAAGAAACATAAAATTCGGCCCTCCTTTGTGCAAAAAAAAAAAAAGAATCCATTCGAGACTCAGATACTTTTTGGCTGAACTGCAGGCAGTGTTTACACAGAACATAAGAGACAAGCATGGATTAAAAATGTAAATTATTTATCGTATGTAGAGCCAGCATTGTTATTTACAGTATTGGTAACGTTTGTGGGTACTTGGAAAAATGTTGAACATGTTGATTTTTTAATTTTTTGTAAAATAAATAATGAAGGAAATTCAGCTTTCATTTTTTAAAAATATATAACTTATGCCATTATATTGGTACCATACTCTACAGGCAACATGTTTAAATTCTCTCTACTTCTAGTTATGGTTTCCACAGAGGTGCAGGAGTTTATATTCCAGTGAAAAATGATCCCACAGTGAATAAAAAATGTGACGCGAGCAAATAAACATTCAGAAATTGCTGGAAGAAGAAGCAGTAACTGGCTAATAAAGATTTAATGTCACTGCAGTGTGCTTGCTCTTAAAATTTAATCTTCTACATAAAAGCATTTTGAGAGTTTGGATTTGATCAGAAACCAATAAAGCAACAGCTGCTCTCTCATACAGGTGCAAAAAAAAATATCTAAATAACCAGCTTAAACCTAAAGGGAGCTGTTTGTTAATTACTGTAAGCATCATCATTATAGGATCATAAGGGGATCTATATTAAAGAGATGGTTTTCTAAATGCTCCTGAGCTGATTGTTGCAGCTCCGGTCGGTGTAAAACTAGAAAAGGGGACAGCTGGGGCTTCCTGGGACATTCCTCTGCTGCTGCACTTCACCATCCCTGGGCTCCTTCCAGAGGAATTCCAGGCATGTGTGTCCCTGTGAGTGTGTTTGCGTAACCAGAAACACAGCGAGCAGCTGAAATGAAGCTGACGGTGGTTCTGCTCTCACTGTATATGAATGCTTTTGAAATAAATATCTTCTGAGACAATCGATTTGACACCGAGTTGAGTTTTTATTATGGCCAGTTTAAGGCCTCAGTAGCTGAAACCTCAAAGAAGAATCAGATTCAGCCTCTGAAATGTTTCCTACCTAAACACCTACTCATGCAGCTCTCCACAAAGGCTCACATTCAGAGCTTCTGCACTCTAAAAGTACTTTAAGGACCGTTTTCCTCAACACTTAATTAAGTGCATGGTTGCAAGATGAAAAAAAATCTAATTTACTGAAGCTGCAAACATTATTTTGACGGGTGACATATTAATGCTGGTCATTTAAACCGGACTTAACTTATTTTTCTGCACCTTGATTTCAGGATTTCCTTTTTTTAATCTTACGATGATCGGACAGACAATTAAAAATACCTTTAATTGTAGTTTGAAAGTAGAAATTGTCACAATTCAAAAAAGACTGATGCAGGCTGTTCATGTTTTGGTTGTGGTTTCCTGCGTTGGGCTTCACCTGTACGTGGTTTAAGCTGTTTTCTATGTACAAAAGAGGCAAAGCAGACTTAAAATCTACAATAAACATATATTTTTTATGTTGGAGACGTCTTTGATGGTAAATATTTTGTGCTGCATCAGAACCATCCTTCACCTTCTACATTTTAAAAGAAAGTGCCGTCTTTGATTTTTAAGTTAATCTTTTTCAATAAATCAATGAATGAATTTATATATTTGCTGTATATATTTAACAATTATACGTTCACCAACTTAATATGTTGTCGACTTATGTATGTATGCGACTTGTGTACTTCTTCGATTTATTTCTGCACATATTATTTATTCCAACAAACCTGAAACACTTTACATGAGTTTAATTGAAAGCAGACTGACTAATCAATCAGCCGTTACTGTTTTACAGTCAACACGTTGCACAGAATGCGTAAAAATAGAGCAGAATTGATCTGCTGTTGTTTTCGGTTCTCAGAATTGAGCAGCGCACAAGACTTGGCAGGAATAAAATAAACGTCTCATTTTGTTGTGACTGACTCCATCTCCTTTTTCGAACCGTGTTAAATTCAGCATCTTACCATCAGCCACTTACCTCCTGAATAGATCTTGGATTAATAAAACTGCCAAATATGAGCAATCTGTGACAGCATTGTGAGCTGCTCAGTCAGAAATTTGGAAAACAATAAGATGCTTTCAGATGCTCTCCGGTTTGTAGAGCATCATTTTTTTTTTTTTAGCACCATTTCAATAAAACCACAGAGAATAAATGCTTTGCAGCGACAGAGGAGTGACATCATTTCCCTGTCAGAATAAAGAGGCTTCTGCGGGTTGTGTATTTGCGATAAGTCGGGCCTATAGACTCTCTGAACCACAACGACACACAAACACAAACATACAAACACAAAATCACACACACGGCAGACCCACACGGAGCTCAGCGGGAGGGTTTCTCTGCACCTTCGACTCCCCCTCACACTTGATTGTTATTCAGAACACATTTGGCCCACTTCAACCTTCACTCTCTACAGCTGAGGATACACTCTGCATCAGGCTCTCCTCTAAATATATACATATAGTCGTAAGTGTGCAGCCTCCAGTCCAAACATGTAGCATTACGACGAAACCGCAAGATACGCACATAAACCACGGATGCAGCAAAGAAAATGTCAAAGAAGACAACAAACCCTCTGCCGTGGAAATGTCAACGCATGTCTGGATGATGCAATGAATTTATTTACCTCAGTTTATTGTTTGCTTTTGGAGGGAAAGTGCACCATTAAAAGCATCAAATTTAATTTCTATGCAAAGAGGCCATTTCTGGACCGATGTAATGTCGTCTAACTCTTCTGGATGTAGACTATGTGTGGAAGTCAGGTGTCTTTCTGCTATCTACGTGTTATCATTTTGCAAATTTGCTTCACGACGGGAAACATGAACCTTCGAGTAGCAGCCTACCACAGTGAAATGATTTGAAGCATGCAACAGTTCCACCAGTCGCTATTTTAAGGGGACACCACCCCTACATCCTGGGCTCAGCTCAGCCTAAGATGGTTGAGATTGGTTTAAAGAAATACTAACAAACACTCCTACAGTATAATAATAATAATGTGGTAAAGCCAGACCATTTTATTCCACAGAATGGCTTGACTAATAAAAGTACCGAAAGCTGCAGTTCCTCAAATATCCACTTGAGGCCGACTCCAAAAACGAGTAAATCCCCATAGACCTCCATGTTCATATGTCCAACTTCACAGCAGAATTAAACTTTGAAGCCTAAAACAAAAAACGATTTTGGCCTCCCCGCTCATGACAAGCGTACAGGGCGTGAAGTTTTATACAATTAACCTGTTAAATTGCATTAAGGCTTAAATTTATGCATACTTCAGGGCGTGGCTGTTTGCATGGCCGACCTCATGCTCCAGCTTCTGGCTCTTTTTTTGATTAACCAAGAAGGCGACGGCTAAAGTCACAACACTGACCTTCATGATTCATCCATCTTTATATAAAGTCACCAGTCTATGCAGGATGTTAGATTATAAATGTCAGCATGTAAACTACTGAAAGCTGTTAATCTTTGAAAAAAGAACAACTGTGATGCATTGTGTTCCTATGAATCAATATTCTTTAGTTTCGCTGAAAAAGACAGTAAAAAATATTCTACAGCTAAACAAAGACTAATGTAGTGAGGACGAGATGGAAGTTCAGCGTTTTAATGAGCAATTATCAGCTCAGCTATGAGACAGGTTATGTTTTAAATAAACGGGAAAAGGTCAGATGAAAACGTTAATTACTAATTAGCAATTGAAGACGAAGTAAATGAAGCAAGAAACTGCAGCGAATAACCTGATCAACACATAGAAATGTGTTGGACTGTTTTGTTTTGTTTTGTTTTTTTAAGAAAGGTTTTAATCTTTCCTGAGGAGCTTTTTTTTTTTCTTGTAATTGCCAAAGACAGAAATAAAACATGTGATCACTAATGCAGAACAAACAGTTAATTATCATCCATCTCTGCTACATTTATGGACCTTTTTAGCTTAAACATTTCGTCTTCTTTCACATCCAGCTGCTAAAGAGCCAGATATTTTCCTCTGGAGATGGTGGAGACCAAAAGGAGTTAAAAGGAGACTAAATATTTGCAAAAGCAGGTTGGATCACACCGTTTATTTCACAGCTTTTGGTTGATATCTGGTTGAACTCCGACAATTATACACCTGGTTTAGGTTAAATAAGTTTATTTGCCTTTGATTTTTGTCCATTTTGACTCTGATGAAGACACGCGAGTCTGTTTGCACAATGAAACACTGTGAATGAAGAAGTGTGCTCCGTCCACCTTCTGTACTTTGGATATTTGCGAGATGAGAAGTTCCTGATGTGCAAGAACCTTGATTTTACTAAATTTCATCAAGACTAAATATTTGATTCCCTTCATGACTCACTGACTCATTGGAAGGCACTGCCTTTCATCACATCTTGTAATTTAGTTTTGTAACAAATACCTGGCCAAAGAATTTCAGTTTTACCTTACCTTGCATTTCATCTTTAACAAGTTTAAAAAATTTTTATTCATCTATTTTTTACTGTAAAGCATTTTGAATAGCCACGATACCTACGATAAACTGCTAAAGACATCAGTTTTCTC